CTTGTTTTAAGGAGGGTAGATTGTAATACCCTAAATTTTAATAGTTTAAGTTTTGGGACGAAACTTGTTTTAAGGAGGGTAGATTGTAATACCCGTATATTTTATGATTTTACAAATTATAAAATTAGAGTTGTATACTTTAAATTTTATTTTCTTATCTTATTTGATAGTATTTATATCCTTTAACCCTACATTGTTATTTAAAAAAAAAAAAAAAAAAAAAAAAATCAGCAGCCGTAACTCGTTAGCCGTGAAGGTACCAAATTGCTTTCCTTCACTTTTTCGTGTGATTTCTAAACCAAACATGCTGATGAATCTTTTATTATGATGTATCATCATCCATTTAATTATTTTGATCATGTAAATCAAATAATTTTCACCTTTCTTTTTTTATGATGTATCATCATCCATATAATTATTTTGATCATGTAAATCAAATAATTTTCACCTTCCAATGTGAATTTTGCTTACTGCTCAAGTCTGGTCAAGTATACACACGTAGTTTTGCAATGGGTCTCTTGTGTATGCGGTGTCAAATTTGGATCGAGTAATCTACTTCATCGGAAGGTAATCACACGAACCTATTTGGAGATGTTTGTATTACTAGCATATGTAATCACACTACCTAAATTAATTTTTTTGACTTGTTTGTTTATAAATTGTTAGTATTAATTGTACTCCGTATTGTTATGTGTAAATTTTATAATTTGTGAATTATATATGATCATGATTTATACGTATATGATTAGTGTGTGGTATTATATGATTCTAATTGACGTATTATTTTTATGGTATTGATTGATTGTGTTATTTTTCTAGGGTTTTTAATGTTGTTTTTATAGGGAGTATTGTTTTATCGAGGTTTTAGGGTTGTTAGTGCAGAGTATTATTTTTGGGTTGAGATTTGATTATATTTGGGTAACTAGTATGATTGCCCTATAAGTGTTGAGATATGCTACGATTGAATCGAGTTCGAATTATTATACTATTTGGGAACATGTGCCAATATCAAGAATTTATTATCATGTGAAAGATTACTTGATCGATGTATGAGATCAAAAGGTTGAGATTATTATTTTGTTATTGGTTTGAGGCTCGGCGTTATATACCTTAGTCCTTGGTATGTTGGTAATGAGATAATGATCATGAGTTAAGAATGAGGTACAATCTTTATTATTTATTTTTTTATGGTCCCCTATAGTGGGAATTGGCTCGTATGTGGTCTGGTTCAAGGTGTTTTCTGGTTATTGGGAGTATTCAAGTTTTTATACTTGTTGGTTTTATTCGAATTACCCATGTCCAAGGCTAGGTATAGAACAAAGAGCATGGCACACTATTGGTTATGAGTTGAGTAAAGGTTCGTACTATTATTCGAGGTTGATTTGTTAAAGGTTATGTTCAGAGTATAATGTGTAATGTAGTTTTGAACTACATTGTTTAATTGATCTAGTAATGTTAATTAATATATTATACTCTATATTTTGATATGTGGTGATTACTCAGCTTTTGCTGACGTATGTGTTGTTGTGCTATTTGTGTTTGTGGCCATGTCTTTTTCTTATGGTGGCCCTGCGACGACTTATTTTGGAATTTGTCCTTAATGGTGAGCAGTCAAGATTTTCTAAGCAGGTTGACCAAGTGGTCGTAGCTAAAGGAGCTCAAGTGTTTCGATTAGTTTGTTATAACGAGTTTATAAAGTTGTACAAATAGCTCACTTAGATTTATTGGGTTGTAATTATTGGAATTTTATAAGCCTTAACACTTGGCAGGTTGTCGAGTGTGGCGGTAATACCTCTGATTTAGGTGTATGCTTCCGCAATTTTATTTAAAGGTTGTCTATTTTTCCTCTATTTATTGTTTATTATTAGTTAGTAAATCGACACTAAAAGTTACTTTAAAAGTTTTTGGGCGCCTAACGTTTTAAATCTTATGATTCTGGATTTTATGACGTGATTTAAGGTTAAACTTTAATTTCAAAAAAATTATTTTATTTTAATTAAAATAATTCGGCAGTTTAAATAAAATATATGTATTTTTATAAATTACTATGTTATTAATAATTTTTTAAATTAGTTGAATCTGCGTACTTATTTTATTCTTTGAACCTTAGTATTATTTATTTTATTTTATGTGTGAGATTTGGGTAGTCTTAAAAAGGGCATATAGGACAGATGATTTCTTTCTATGTGCATTATAATTTAATTCTTGGTGCCATTTATTTTGAATGTAGTTTTTATGCAAGTTATATTTAATTGTATATGTTTTATATAATCATGCAAATTTGGGTGTTGTGATCACCTAGAATCATGTGTAAGGATTAAAGAATACAATATAGATTAATTTGTGATGATTTGTGCAATGTAATGTGTATGTATGGATGATCATTATATGAAGCATGTAATTATGTGACTATTTGGTTATGCTTATTTAATGATGTTATTTATTATTTATTTGGTGCTTTAGGTTATTGGTAAGATCTATATTTTTATTATTTAATATCTCATTCAATTTTTGCAACCAATGAGGGTTTATTTGAGAAACCTTATGATCAAATTAGGAATGTACTTGGAGAATTGATGAAATATATATATTTGGTGATGATAAACTACGCGAGAGGAGTGTATGAATTTTTCTTTGGTCAAGCCGCATACTTTATGGAGAGTGGAGACCCTGCTTTTCTGTAGAACTAGGTAGTGAAAGATGAGTTTTTGTTGTTTTGAATTGCCATGAGAATTATTTTAGCATAACTTTGTTAGAAAGAGAATAGGGATACGATTCGTGAGACAATTGACTTTCGTTGGGAGAATTTGAAAACCAAGTTGGAGATAAGAAAATTTTGAGGAGCCCATGGATTCATAAACATGGAAATATAAATCAGGCCTTTTGGGTTAATTAATGTATTAACAATCATAATGGATTTAATGAATCGAGTATTTCCATAAGTACAGTAATTCGATAAATATATGGCTTTATTAATGATATCTTGCTATACTTGAAGAGTGAGGAGAATTATAATAGACATTTGAGGATTCCGTGACATTTTAGGGACGACTTGTAATATGCTCAGTTTTCGAAGTGTGAATTTTTATTAATGAGAGTAAGTTTCATTTTGGGACAAAAAAATTCAAGTGGTGAGTAAGTGGTCTACACCTAAAAATGTGACCGATATAAGGAGTTTATTGGGATTAGATGTTTAAAGAGGGTTGTGAAGGACTTTTGAAGATTGTTGTATATACCTTGATGAAAGAGAGTTAGTTTGAATGGGATGAGAAGTGTAAACAAGCCTTTTAACTCTTAAAGAACATTTAATCGTTGCACTTGTTTTAGTCTTGCCTAATGGGAGTGGTGGACTTGAAGTTTTTACTTAATGGATGTGTGTTGCAACAAAATGGAAAAATGATAATGCTTCTTGCCAAGACAAATTTTATGAGACCAATTACCCTACCATGATCTTGAGATTGCGTATATATTGTTTACATTGGAGATTCATTCGAAATACAGTGTCACCTGTAAGATTTTTACAGATCTTAATAGCCTTCGGTTGTTAGCTAAGGAGAGCTAATGAGAATATTGAGTGCCTATGAATTGAACTATTCAAATTTGAGGAAATTATAGAATAACAAGTTATGGATAAATTATTGCAGAAAGAAGAAATGAAAAAGAAATGCCTAATGATGTTATTGAGGTGAGTTACAGAGGCGTAACTCTTTTCTTTAAGAGGGGCATAATGCGATGTAATTTCGCGCTTTTTACCTCAATTATGCTATTTATTGCTTGAGTTTGCATTATTTTGCTTATTAATATGCACTATTGTTGTATTTACATGCAATTAAAGTATGTAAATTTTGGCCAAGTACGAGTCTATTAAGCATAAAGTTCAGTTTGTTGAGTGTGCATGTTGAGAATCAATCAATTTACAGCAATATAAAACACAAAAGTTTGAATGCTTTTGGAAAATTTATGGCTTTGGGGTTAAGTTTCGAGGGCGAAACTTCTTTTAAGAGGGGTAGATTGTAATCCCCCGTAATTCTCTTGAAATTGTTCAGGTTATTTTAAGAGGGGTTAAGTACAAGTCTATTGAACACGTGGCAGTAGCACACCAGTAATTCTCTTGAAATTGTTCAGGTTATATACAGGTTTCTCACAGGTTTTTAAGAGATAATTATTGGGGTGTTACAAAACGTGTCACCAAAACCCTAAACGGGTTTGGATTTTGCGTTTCCAAAAGGGGAAGGGGGAACGGGAATGAGAATGAAAGGGATGTGTTGGATGTCGCGTTGGTGGGGGATAGGATGGGCCGGGGTCGCTGGCGGCGAGGAAGGAAGCCAGTCGTCGGTCGCTAGCAAGGGGAGGGGTTGGTTGTGGCCAGTGGTGGGGGTATTTCGGTTTTTTTAGTTTATTGTTTTATTTTATTTTTTTGATATAATTATTTAACTATTAATTGAATTAATTACTAATTAATTCATCTTAATTTTTTTTTACAAAAGGACCAATCATACACCGACACGCGACATAATTTACCTTAACTACTGGTTAATTTCTAATCTAACAAGTTTTGACTCATTGAGAAGATATCTTATAAAGGTTGACTTTATTTTGAGTTTATTGAAAGGTTAACTTATTTTGAACTAACCACGCAAAGGTTGACTTATTCTTGACAAATTTTCCTTAAAATTATCTTATGTCTTTTCATCAACAACTAGTGTGTGCCAATGTTTTACATGTTTTTTAAAAAATATATTTCTCAACGTTTTGTGATTCCTAATTTGGATTTTCGTGTGTCCACTTCCACTTTCAAGTACACTCCAAGAACACAAACAACAAATTTGTTGCGCAATTTAGATTGATTTTAACATTACTTGAAATTAATCTTTGTCTTTGTACAAGATTTAATCTCATGACCTCCAATTTATACTAAAAGATTTAACTACTAAACCATTCAAACATTGATGCCATTTTCTTAATTTGAAATATTACTAACAATATATTCAACACTCGGGTCTCAAAACTAATTACTTCGGATAACTTATAATTTGATAAATTTAATTGGAGGTTATTTAGACAAACAGCTCCAAAGAACTGTCACATAATTATGTCAATTCCAGGATAAACAATAAACACTAGAAACTGTAGAGTTATTACAACAATTGACTAAATACTAACACTTTTTGCCCTAAGCTCTAAAATTTGAGAGAAAGCTCAAAAAGGTCTCTTCAAGCTCCATTACTCTGAAAGGTCATGTAGAACACTGTCAACTCCCTGACTCCTGAGTTAGCGAAGAAGAATCAAAAGGCAAAAGCAAGTTACAACATAAACCAGGAGATTGCTGTATTAATCTATTTATGAAGTTTCATTAAATAGAATATACACTGATGTACAAAACTTATTTGGCAATAAATCCACTTTGAACTTTGTTGGAAGGTTTTCATATAAGGCCACAGAGGCGAGGCCTAGAGCAGAATTGCCTTCCATTAGCTTTGACCAATGCCATGACGCCAGCAGTCACACCAGCCCAGAGAACAGAGGACATAAACTGCTGAGCATTCCGGCCAACTACCAGAAAAAAATATATATATATATATATAAATATATAAAATTATATAATAAAAAATCAGAGCTTTAATTGAGGCAAACAGGCTGAACAAAGCTCATTTGATTTCAACTGAGTGCATGCATAACTTTATGGAAGAAACAAGAGTGCATTGTCATACCTTGGTTTAGCGAAAATGACGTCATTGTCAAGCCCCCAATCAACAACGCTGAAGCCACTGGAAGATACTGTAGCAACATATAATGCCATGAGTTATTAAAAAGACCTCTGCTGTACATAATGCATCATATATATAACTTAAGCAAATGTCAGAAAACTTGAGAAGCTCTAGATGATAAGAATTGGTAGATAAGGTTAGACAAAGGGGAGGCAAGCATAGACTTTGTAGAAACAAATGAATTCAAATGGCTCTTATCACTATAATAGTATAATACACGTGCAAGAGTGATGAATTTCTTAGAGAAAGTTTGGTTTCCAGCATAGCATCTGATACCGCAGTCATAAATTACTTAAATCATGATACATTGTTAAGATTACTTGAAAGAAGTCATATATATTCTTAAAAGCAAACTTTTAAACAGTATTTAACTCACTGAAAGTGATTCGAAAGCATTAAGTTGAAAGGGTGATGGATTATTCCGGTCAACTGAGTAGCGGCCACTGATAAGATCGATTGCATCCTGGAGAAAACACAAAACCAAACTAAGATAAATATCCTCCCTTCCATATACAAGAAAATTAAAATCATGTAAAACGTCATGGTTGCTTGCCTGTCTAACACCATCTTGAAAATTATTCAAATAATATCTTGAAAGTGCACTCATACCATCTGTAATAAGTCCTCCAAAAGTCTGCTTTCCGTATCTGCAGAACCATGCATCTTAGTTATTACAAGGTAAGCATCTACAGATAACAGATCAATTTCATACAGATTCAGAAGATGATTTCAAAATTTCTATACCTTACAAGGTCTCTCTTGAGAGCATGGGTACCAGTATATTCTAAGCTTAACTCATCCCCTTGCTCAACCCACACTATCAGTATCACCAGCATAAGAAATACATATTGAAAAAGGTTGACACTCAATACAAATCCATAATTAAGTAAACTAAATATCATACATAAATAACTCACAGATTTTAAACTTGTCATATTCTTCATGACAGATTGAAATGGTATCTTCAAGAGTAAATATGCCAACCCTCTGCAACTGTAAATCCAATGATTTCCGAGCTAGGTAACTCTACATATAGAAATAATATGAGGTATACATGTCAGAAAGAATCCGATTAAGTTACGAGTGACAATTAACACACATTTACAGCAGATACATAAATACAAGTAATCCAAACCTGGGTAACATTTGTTCGATCGAGGCAATCAATGCAGTTAGATCTGATAACTCCCTTCTGTTCTTCCAGCATATGCCCTTCAGAGTCTACGAGGAAGTATCTGGTGAGGTGGAAAAAAATGATTAAAACAACAATGCAAAAAGTCTAAATTACCCTCTTTTTTCTTTTTTCTTTTTTTTTTTTTTTTTTGGGGGGGGGGGGGAGATGGTCCAAAAAGATTACACAAGTCATATGAAACTTAAATTACCCTTGCTTTCCAATGTCGTCGGAAATTTCATCATACAGCAAGTGCAGGTTATCAAAATTTGATTTGCCACAAATGCTGTGGAAGCGAAAGGGAATGTATCTGTAAATCCAGCCATGTACAATAATTAGTTACAGACATGGTCTCAAGACAGAATATGTCAAGAAAATTTCATAACATTTTAAAAACTGATAACCAGACAAAGGTGCTTCTTTCATCTCTGTTTCCCTTAGGGCAAGAGGGAGGATTACATGCGTTCACTAGCAATTTTACAAAATCACCTAAATCTCAAGAACTAACAGAAACTACCCAGACTTGGAAATTGAACTTCGCAGATGATAATGTACAGAACTTAAACTAAAACTTGCATTAATTACATTGGACTCGTGGGTAAAATTCCACTTGTGGTAATATGACAAAGCTAAAGCCATCACAAGACTCTGAAGTGGTAAGTTAACTAACTTTATGCTCAATTATACTCAATTTTCCGTACCATTCAATTGTACACTACAAAAATCAAGGCCAACTCATCAATTAAAATTAAGACAGTAAAGTTGAAATCAATAAAACCTATATGCAGCTTCAAAATTCACCTCACACTAGGTAGCTTTTCCATCTCAGCAGCATATGCATTGCTGAGTTTTCCTTCATCACCATACTGAAAATGCAAGAAATAGTCAAATGATATTTGATGATATAATATAAGTACAGTGAAAAAGAAAGCTTAATGTTTGAACCCTAACAAGGTCTAGCTACCACAATTACAACTTTTTGAATTTTGAACAATATTTATAGCCACAAGTCACACAACTCTTTATTTTCATTCAGTGCATTTAAGTAAGAAATTATATGGGGAAAAATAACAATAGATAGGTTTCTTCAACCATCATTCTATAAACTTCTTGTTGACTTGAATATCTCATACAGTAAAAAGGTATTACAGCAACAAAGACAAATTCTGAACTTAAATACTGGAAGCCTTTATTCCTAACAAGTGATTTAAAGGAGCAGGACCAATGCATCATCCACACTTCAAGCCTAATGAGCAATTACCATAAGGAGTGTATATGTTATAAAACCAATGTTTGGGGCCTTTGGGCATCCACCTCAATGTATTAAAAAAAAAATCAACACTAAGGTAAAAGGGGTGCTGTGACTAGGCGTGCCTCATTGAAGCGAGACACACTTGATAAATATCCAAAATAAAATATAAAAACAATGCTGAAAAACCTTAAGCTATGTGCCTTAGGTGAGCCTTGGGCACACCTTGTGTGCTTTAGGTGTGTCTCTTTAGATCCAACTTAATTAACTTAATCCCATGCACTTAGCGCCTAGGTGCACCTTAAGCTCCCCTTCCCATACATAGCTCCAACTATCATTTTATTCCAATGGTGACAAAACCTCATGCAAGTATGCAACCTTATACTGTACAATATAATAAATGCCTATTGCTCACCAATGATATGCAAAATCAAAATAAAAAAGTTATAAGTCTTGTCACATTAATAAAGCATCAATAATAGTGTATTTAATAGCACCAATATTTAAAATATGGAGTTAATCTTACTTCATCAGTTAGGTCAAGCGCCAATATCTCCCCATATCTTTGTGATAGATCATGGAAATGACGCTCCACTACGTGTGACTGGAAAAGAAAATTGAAGTTATGGAAAATATAGCAACTCCATCAAGCATAACATAAAAGCTGAAAGCTTAAATATATACCGTATCTTGATGGTTGATGATGTTCAATCGAGGTTTATAGCTCAAATCAACAATTTGTTCCCATAGAAGTGGAATCGAACCCCGAACCTGAAATTCAACATAAGTACAAGTCTAGCCGAAAATTTTTTAAGGAGTATCATTCTTTCCTAGAGAATATTCTAGCCAATAACAGATGATAAAGATATGATGCCTCAGTTTTGCAGCTTCTTTGGGTATGCTCATGATGGATGTGAATATCAGAGACTGCTAAATACCAACAATTCAACAGCCCAAAAGAGATCACCCAAATGTGAGGCACATTAAGTTATATCAACAGAGTATTTGCAATTTTAGCATTCATGGTCTTGATATAAAAATAATATTACATCCGGCCTTGCCCCATTTTCGTTTGTGGACTGTTTTCTCTCTATTTCTTCTCTTGAGTAAGGTCTCACACTCGCCTACCTTTTTACTATACTTTTGCGTCCTCTTGAGCAAGTAAAAAGGGACAAATTATGTCTTTGTCATATTTGAGTTTATTTGTAGGATTGTACGATTTTGTGATATCAACCAAAGTACCCTTACCTAGCCAAGGTAATCCTAGTAACATTGCTCTACACAATACTCATCGCGTCATCAACATGAATCACAAAAATGGATGCCGCTATGCCAGAAATAAACAGCAAAATTGTGTTGAAGAGCAGAAAATGAGGTTGATATCGTGAAATTACATAAGAGAGACTCCCACACAGGTTGTTGAGTATGCTAAATATTTACACGAGCAGTGAAAGCCTAGATTTGTAAATCCTGTAAACCAAATAGCTCTTACAGCTACCTAATGTAATTTACAGACGTGAGTAATTATACTTGTCTCTGTGTAGCACCCAATGAGAATAAAATATACTATTTGTACCTTCAAGGATCGTATTTTGCGTGTCACAAGTCTTAGTGGTTTAAATATTTTAGGATAGGTTTGTTGGAAGATACTTGCAGAAGTCAGTGGGCTATAGTTGTAAATAGGAGAGTGTAATGGAACGGGTCAACGAGGTCAATGGTTCCAAGGAACCAAGTCAGCCACCCCTTTTGGTGTATAGCAGGCGCGCAAAACAGAGACAGCAAGGGTCAATTGTGAGAAGCAACAATGAGCAACAGGACAAGGTTAATTAAAGAGAAGTGAGGGAAAGTTAGAAGCTCCCTTTAATCATAGATGTTGTGGGTTTCAATTTTAGTTAATCATTGTCACATGTATTATCTAAGTCTTGAGTATAAGTAGTGTAGTTTAGCTGTTGGTGAGATTATCCAGAAATTAGAGAAAACACATGATAGACTTGTAGCCTAAAGCTACTCTGAGATTCATAACCTCAAGTTATGCTTATCCCTTTTGTAATTCAACCATCAGTAAATTAAATACTCAAGCTTTCAGCCTTAATTCTCTTATTTATAATTAAATTACAATTCCAGTAAATTGATCCATTACAGAGAGGATTAACTTTAACGATGAGCATTTTTTTTTTTAATTGTTGACTTTTTATTAAGTGAATTGGTTTCTTACATGCTTCATCATACTCCTCCGTTTTTTTATTGCACCATTTTCTTTTTTAGGAAGTTGCATATTAATTGCATCATTTCCTTACTTAGTAACTTTTTTTCACTTTTTGGTTGTGTTCACTCACAAAATCCCTTATTTACCCTGTTCACATGTGGTATCTACCCCTGTTACCTAACTTTTACTATCTTTCTTTTGTTTGTAGTCACATGGGCATTTTTGTGATTTAATTTCTTCCTTAAGTGTCCACCCCAAATGGTACAATAATAATAAAAATAAATAAATAAATAAACCGGAAGTACATATTAGTTATGGCATGTTGGTTATTTTGCTACAAAAAACTTATGATTATTATTAGAGTTCAAATTAGGTTTATCAATGGAGTCTAAATATTCCTACAATATTTTGATTACACCATCCAAGATTTTTCTAGATTAATATTTTTAATTGAAAAAATATTAATCTAGAAAAATCTTGTATAGTGTAATCAAAATATCGTAGAAATAGGAAATAATTATTTAAGAAAATCTAATGTATTCTAGAAATTACCTAAGGCCATGTTAAGATAGTTGTAAAATAAGATAATTGAGTACTTGGTAAAGTAGTTGTTCGTTTAATAATTATTTTCTTTTTCTAAAATTATACAATAAATATCAACGGTACTTTAATTTCCAAAAGCTGTTAATTTTAGTTGTTGATAAAAGCTACCTCCACCAATAAACACTACCCCCACCGCTTAATTGTCAAATTTTTTTTTTTATTTATTAAGGCATGTTTGGCACTAGTTTTTGAGTAGTTTTTAGTGATTTGACTAAGTCAACACTCAAACCACTACTTAATTTTTTTTTTAAATAAAATGGTTGGCAATGTAATGGTTGGGATAGATTTTAGTAGTGGAGTATCAAAAGGTAATAAAAATTATTAGCTTTTGAAAATTAATAGTAGCTTATAGTAATTTAATATTTTAATCTATGCTTTTATGGGAAAAAAATATATCAAATTTTACATACAACGGCTAATCAACAGCTACTTACCAAGCACTTATACTTTAATTATCCATCTTCGCTGCCTACCACAGCTAAGAGCTACCTCCATCTATATTTTGCCGAACATACTCTAAGTGATGGTTTGATTTGGTCAAACCACTAACGCTATTGCCGAACACGCCCTAAGACAATTCTTGGAGAAAATATCTTAGAAAAATCTAAGGAAAAATTAATAAAAATAATCCAAACTATTATTTACCTTCTCATTTTAATCCCAACTATTAGGAGTTCTTCTCAAATTAGTCTCTCTTACCTACAACTTGTAATACCGGTTAAGTTTTTGTTTTTTTTTTTTTTTTATACAATTAACTTTTTATTTATTTAATTTAATTATTGTCACCATCATCACCTAAACCTCAGCCATAACCACCACCCCCTATCTCTCTCTTCCCTCAAACCACAATGGACCAACCACCTCCTCACAGCCACACCACACCACCTCATCAGTCCACCTCCTTTCCCCTCCCAATTGCGGCGCCTCTACCACTCGCCCACCTCTACCCCCTGACCCACCTACATCCCAATTCGCTCCCCCGCCATCAACCGCATCTCCTCCTCCTTCGACACCTTTCACTTCATGTCCTCCTCCGATCCCATCCCCCTCCCCGTTCCTCTCTCCTTTTCTCGTTCTGCAGACATTGGTGAGGTTTTCGCAGGGGAAATTGTGGTTGATGGTGATTGTTGTTGGTGTTGATTGATGGTGATTTACGGCTAGGATGGCAGAAAGGGGGTTTCGGTGGATGGGCTTGGTTGGAAAGATACTAACTTTTGGTTGCCGGGGATGGATGTAAAGGTGGTGATAGTGGATGGACTTTGTTGGGTAGGTGTGAGAGGGTGGTGGGGAGTTCGCGTTTAAAAGTAGATGGTGGTGGTGACGGTGGCCGGTGGGAGTTTGCGTTTAAGAATAGACTTTTTAGTTTTTTTTTTTCTTATATTTTTGTGAAATTTTAGGTCATAATGTTAATTAACCAATAATATGTTGACATGTTGCTCATATTACCTGATGAATAGGTTAATAAAAGTCTCATACTAATTTGAGAAGGGACCCCTATACTTGGGATTATTTTGATTTAAAACATAGTTGGGATTAAAATGAGAAGGAAGTTAATAGTTTGGATTATTTTTATTAATTTTTCCAAAATCTAAACTCCAATTACCAAACCTAATCTACCAACATTGTTCTAGAGCAATAATCCTAAATTAGTCGTAAAAACTACCCAACATAAATATGCATTAAATGTTATATGATGAAGAATGTAAGAAACCAATCACCTAATAAAAAGTCTACCATTTAAAAAAAACACATTTCTTCTTTATTCAATTGATCATCAAATTTCATTCCTCTCCTAATTAACAATAGCCCACTAACTTAAGCAACTCCAACAAGATTTGGAAGGATGTAAGGCTTTGTTGTTGTTGTTGCTGTTTGGAAGGATGTAAGGCTTAAGAGAAGACATCAAATCAATCAGTCAAAGCCTTAATCCCATAAGTGGGGTGACTGGGGTCGGCTACATGAACCAAAAGTATTATTCCTTATAGTCGTCCACAACAATCTTCCTCCTCCAACCCTTATGATCCAATACGTCCATAAGAGAGGATATGAGTGAAACAAAATAGTTAAAGGCGAGAAAGAGATATCAATTAAGGAAGAGGTGAATGGGGTATACATAGCATTTAAGAAGGAAATAATACTAGGGAAATAATATTATGGTTTAGATGCTACATTGGTCCTTCTCTCGTTTAAGGGTCAGACTTATGTTGTATTCCATAAACCTATGTGCATACATTATACCATATTTATTAAACTAATGTCATGGCTATAAAATTACAATGGAAAGCTACAAGATTTTTATAAGCAATGATGTTAGCCCAAAAGAAAGCATAATTGAAATTATGATCATAATAGTAAAGTTGGTTAGATTAGGGCCCAACTTTAAAAAAAATGGATCATATCTCCTTCATATTAATTCAAATGTGCACTTATAAGATATCGATAAAAAAGGAAAGGGCATTCATCTATGCAAGGTCAGTTCATTTGTTTGATAAAGGTTTATGGCTTGCTTTTTTCAAAACTTAACTAACCTATGAATGACATCCTCTAAAAGGGAATGATAGGATCGTGCTTGTTCCATACACCATTTAATTACAACTATTTAAAAATCTAAATTGTTTCATAGGAGATGGTGTAGACAACAAAAGATTAACTTCCGTAAAGTATGATTTACTTCAAAAGGTAAACTGCATATATTTTAATTATTAAGAGATTAACTAAGTGAGCCTTAGGCATAACATATAAAAAAATCGTTTTAGCCAATATTGATGCAACTAACGTCATTCAAAGGCCAAAGTGATAACTTTAGTAGACACATATATCTATCTCTCCCCTTACCCCTAAATAGCGGCCTATGGCAGTAATAACTTACCAGATGTCCCAAGGAAAAATCAAGCTCAAAACGACCATAAACCTTTAGATTAGCCAACGAACCATGTACGGATGAATATCCCTTCAAGCAATCATTTCACTAATGTCTTATAAAAGCCCAATTACAATTTAAAAAGAAGGATGTATGTTTCAATTATTAAAGTCAGACCCAAATCAGATCAACTTTGTTACTTTGCTCATAACTTTAGCCTTTGTAATCTTATTCGTAGGATTGAAACCTAAGTCATAACTTTCTGTTATTAACGTCGGACCCAAATTAATGATTAATCATATTTGCATTGAGTAGAACAAAGAAGGGAGAAAAATAACTATTAGTCTTTGCTGCATAAGTATGGATCCTAATGAATGCATAATTGTATACTTCCATCGCTCAACTAAAACAGAAGTCAAATTCCAACACTCAAGAGGGATTATACTATAATTTGTACTTCAAAACAATATAAGTACTCCCTCCGTTCTTATATATTCTATTAAGTTACACAATTTAAGATAATACTTCCTCCGTTTTTTTTATTGCACCATTTGTGATTCCATATTTTCCAATGCATTAATTTGACGATTAATATCTTTAATTACTTTTGTAAAAAATATAATAAGTTGATATTTGAAAAGTTGATATCGAGACAAATCTAACTAGATTACTAACGGATAAATCACAAACTATGGTCAAAGACTATTGTGTGAATAGTTTAAAAGTCCACATGATGTAATTAAAAAGGGGGGGGGATATTAAAAATGTGAATAGGTATAAGATGAAGTAAGAGAGAAAATGTAAAAGGTGTGTTTGTGGGATTGAAGGGGTAAGATAAAGTAAGTAGAACAAAAAAGAAAGGAGTAATTTGCAAGCTAAAGCTCTAAAGCTAAAAACGAACAAGATTCCCAAAGCAATTACTAAATATATTAGGCACAATTACCTGCAAAAAAGAGGACTTGAAATTCTTTGATTCCAGCAACTGCTCGGTTTCAATAAAGTTAGCAGCATCTCCCTGCAGGTTAGCTCCCCTTCTCCACATTCTGGTTCCTTCAGTAAAGTTACATAATAAATTTAAGCAATTATGTAGCAATATTAACTTACTTCAGAATTCACAATACCTAGCCGTCTTGTGCATCTTCTTGATATCAACGTAATGGTAACAGGTGCATTTTTTAATGTAACCTCTGCAGTCTGAAAGCTTAACTTTATGTTAAGAAAAGTGATGACAGATTATTGTCAGAAGCTAGGTTGGTATACCATTTATGCACAAAAGATACAAAAGAATATGCAATCTTGCAAAATGCAAGGTGAGAAGAATAATATCTACTTTGGTAATCATAAAAAACATCAAAGGATATTTCCTTGCACCAGTGGCATAATGAACTCATCAAGCTGCAACCCAAAAAGAAAAGGTAAAAAATAAACATCAGCTACAGGTAAAATTTTCTCCCATGATCATAGGATCAAAGATCAAGTAATTTCAAAAAAGGATCATAAACTATCACCTTACACTCAATAAGCTCATCCAAAAGAGCTCTGTTCCAAACAAATCGCGGGTCAGCCTAATGCAAGCAAGAAATCAGAGATATGAGACTTATGGCTTCTTAAACAGCGTCACGAACACATAATACCAAACAAACAAATTTACCAATATCCAAAATTACAAAGAGAAGTATATTGATTGTGTGGCTCAAAATCATAAAATTGAAATATCAATTATCTGTGTCAATAAGAGCACTAGCGTGATCCTACCATCCGTGTACAAAAATTAATATTAAAAAAATAGATAGATGCAATCATGCAACTGTCACCAGCCCCTAAAACCCACTAAGAGAATAGTGTGTTTTCTTTTCTCTGTTTTATGCAGTCCTGGCACTTTATTCTGAACTAACATCTTGTATCAAATTATTAGGTAAAAAGGCAAAGTCATTGTTTAATTGCTACTTTAAATCTTCAACTAAATATGCATCACTTTTTGCCAGCCTGTCTACAAAGAACCACAGAAAGGGATGTGGAAATAGTCTTCAAATTATAAAAGTTACTAATGGAAAAACTTCATTTAACCAATTAACCCTCTTAAGGCTTTTTAGCAGAGAAATATGCTGACATAAAGAAAAAGAAAATTTTCATATACTGCTCCTAGCATGGTCTTGGATAGTTGGATGTTCTACATTGATGGCCCTAAACTCTCAGCCGAACTATGACACAAGATCAATATATAAACTTTTAAGAGACAAAGCAAATTAGAAAGTCTAATTATAGAAGCCATTTGCAAGAAGCATAATGTAGAAAATCATCATAATTTCTTCAAAACACAGTTGTTAAAGCAACATAGTAATACAAGTAACCTGCTTCCAAATTGGACTGCTCATCCACCCTTCTGACAGCTGTAGCCTTCTCTGCAAGCTGTTAGTCAGCCTAATGTGAGAATCGTAGAAGTCTACTCATTGATATCCAAAAAAATAAAAAAAATAAAAAATCCTGTTCTATTATAGTAATTGAAAATTATGGAGGTATAAAAGAATGGCATACTTCACAGTTATATCTGTTTCATAGGAATAATATAATCCAGGAGTAGATTCCACAACTCTCAACAAATTCCTGAAGTATGCTTCATCTTTTTTCTGCGCACACAAAATTATTTGAATATTCTTATTAATCAAATGAACACAATCCATGCAAAGAAGCATATTTCGAGGGGATAGAGAAAGCAAGACCTTACTTCCTGAACACCTAATTTCTCTAAGGCTTGATTACAGGGCAAATATTTCATAGATTCTACTCGCAAAATAGGGAAACCATGATACTTCCCCACTTCCTTGGAGGATGTTATTACTAGTATGTACATTCCTGCCAAAAATATGAACAAGAAATTTACATATAATGAATAGAATATAACAAAAGTATTCTAAAAGTCGCTAAATATAAATTAATTACATATAGAGCCAAATGTGCATAAATATTTATATCATTTGCTCTCAAATAGTGCCTTGCTTTGATAACTCTCACTTATGATGACCAATAAAACCACAAATATTACATTTATAAAATTATAGTTCACACACAAGCTTTACTGCTTTAGCAATCCTTGTTATTAAGACATCAATGCAAAGATAACAAACACAAGTTTCCATTTCTCACAGGTTTCCATTTCTCACATTGTCAAGCGCTAATTTAATAAAACAGCATGACTATTATGGGAAACACAGATACCTGAAACCAGTTGAATAGTCCCAACTACACCACATATTTTAGTGGCTTTGCCCGGACTTCCCAAAACATCATTACCTGCAACAACAGAACCCATAATCAATTTCCCTTCACCATCACATAGAAAAGTACCAAATACTTACTATCTTAGGTTAATGTACATGACTCAATATAACATTATATTTTATGTACATCCCAATTTAATAGGCTACATATTATTAGATGTCATATCTAAGAAAATTGCTCGAAATACCAAAACTATACTTAATTATTCATACAACTGACAAGGGCAAGCATCTATTATGACATACTTCGTAATAAATAAAATCCTCAAAGAAAAGTAATAGTAATCTGGAAAAGCTCATAATTAAACTTGATATTAAACTTGGTAAAGAAAGTGATGCAAGCATAGAAATGAAACCTATAATAGTATGACGAAGGGAGTGTAATACTAAAACTTGTTGAGCACAAAAGAAGCTCCAACATTTATAAAAAATAAAATAAATAAATAAATAAAAAGTAGTAACATGACTAACATCGTATAAGGGTTCTCAAACAGAAGTACTAGCAATAAGAAAATTCAATTTTTATGTTTCAGAATACTAGAATAGTTTGTACACTCCTCATTTTCATCCATTCATAAACAGTGTAAAAAGTTTTTCTTAGTTCAACCATTGATTCATCATGTCTTATTTTTCATGGGTCTAGTATCTCTTTTTCCCAATTACTTTTTCAATTAAATAACTCCCTCTTTTTTCCTTCTTTTTTTAAAGTACCACAATTTGACTAAGAACATATGTCGAATGCGGAACTTTGATCAACAATATCTTTAATTATCAATAGGTGGAGCACATATTAAAAATAAATAAATAAAAGTGATGTAAATAAACTATACATTGAAACAATCCTAACAAATACCCGATTACCCACTATCAATCAATCAAAAAGCCTTAATCCCATAAGTGGGGTCGGCTACATGAACCTAATTTGATTATTCCGTGTAATCATCGACAAAGATCCTTCTCCTCCATCCCTTACGATCCAATGCCTCCTCCTCATGCAAATCCATATACTCCATATCCTCAATAACTACTTCCAACCAAGTCATTTTCGGTCTCCCTCTCCCTCTCCCTCGTTTAACCACTCCACGATCCCACTCCTCCACTCTTCGTATCGGTGCACCTTCTAGTCTCCGTCTTACATGCCCAAATCAACGCAGATGATTCTCCCTTAGTTTGTTGCCAAACCTACCTTTTTTTTAATAACCTCATTTCTAATTCCATCTCATATTATGTTCCCGCACATCTACCTTAACATTCTCATTTACATAAACTCCATCTTTTTAATGTGTAGCCCAATATTCTGTACCATAGAGCAACATTGGTCTTATGCAGTCCTGAGAATTTTCCCTTTAACAATAAGGGAATACTTCGATCGCATAACACTCCCGTGGGCCGTGGCTGCTCTCCACTTAAGTCACCCCGACTTAATCCTGTGGGCCACATCTTGATCAATGTCATGATTTTTTTTTTATGATCGACCCAAGGTATTTAAAACATTCGCTAACATTGTTCAAAGCAATATATGAATAAGGTCAAAATGTGCACTTACAAAAACGGAAAATGCTCCACTAACTCTCGTTACGTCTACTTTTCGATTAGGAAATTTTGCAAAAACCCACCTTTTAAATCTAATTTTTTGCATATAACCACCTTTTAAAAAAACAGGTTGCAAAAGACCACTAATTTTAAAATTTTTGTTGCAAATTACCACCATTTCAATGTAAAACAATTGATAAATTTGGCTTAAAAAGAGGTATTTTGCAACAAAATTTTTTAAATTGGTGGCCTTTTGCAGTATTTTATTTTTAAAAGGTAGTTATATGCAAAAAAAAAAAAAAAAAAAAAAAAAAAAAAAAAAAAAAAAAGTGGTTTTTTGCAAAATTTCCTTTCTATTAAATTAACAATTCATAATTTATATCAAAAATGTTGGAACTAATGTTAGAAGGAGAGTGTAATAAAATGGCAATTTACAAATATAACAACATGCTGCAGTGAGTAATTCAAACTAAGCAATACAAATACTTAAATCAATCAGAGATTAAATACAAAGTCAGAAAATCTTAATAATGTAAGATAATGATCTTAACTGGAAAGTGGTTGAATATCACCATCAAGTCGACTAGCAGAAAACCCTTGATTTGGAGAATTAACGGCTCTGATCACATACTTGTCTTTGAATTCCAGAAGCTCCATTTCATTAATTAGTCGGAAATTGGGAGTTGCAGAAGAAGTGGGAGATTCCTCTTCGACTCCAATTTCTTTCTCTTCCATTATTTTGCGTAATCTGGAAAATGGGGAGAAGTTTTCTGGGATTAATTTGAAAAAATTAGGTGATTGTGAACACGAATTTGATCTGAAAAAACCCTAGAAACTACGATACTAATAATGGTGGTGGCAATAATGAGCTCAGGATTGATGAAATTATTGGATGTGAAAATTGATAAGAGTTTTAAAAGAGAAGGGTCGACAGGATGAATGACAGTTGAATTTACTGTTTTAACTGTTCTCTTTTGTTTTTATCAAAATAAAGTCTGTCTGTTATTCTTTAAAAGGAATAACTAGAAGCGTTGTTGTTTACCAAAGCCTACCGTCCTACCGACACACCATACGATACAACTATCGTTCCCATTTTAGACACAAGAGTACAAGACAGAGTCATAGAGCGCATAATCAATTTATTGATGAGGAACTAACCCTGTCACTTTAAGGTCTCGAGTTCGAACCTCACCAACTGCTTTTGCTGAGTAGTAGAAGTGTCGGTTAGTAGAGTCCTTCATCTTACCTTAAAAAAAATACTTCCTCCGTTTTCTTTTACTTGCAACACTTCCCTAAAAAGGAAATGTCACAATACTTGCAACACACTATAAAAGGAAAGTTACTTTAGGGAAAAACAATATTATTTCCCTTATTTAAAGCACATGGCCCACTAAATTACACTCCTAACAACCACTCATCCCATTATAAAGTGTATTATATCATGTGAATCCCACATTTCTTAAATACCGTGAAAAAGTGTGTGTTGCATCTAAAAGAAAACGGAGGAAGTATATATCTAATTATCTTAATACATGTTGGATATAAGTATAGAAATAGCAATGACCCTCGTCCCTCCTTTTTCTTTTGATGACAAGTGAGGATAGAAGTTAGAGGCTGATTTGAGGAAGATGATAGGTAAACAATGGAAGAAGAGGGATAAGGTTTAGGCCTCTAAAGTATCCATTCCAATATTTGGATCATCCCAATTAATTCTCAACAGTGTCGCCGGTGAGGAGTTCTAAGCTAGCCGGAAAGGTAAATAGTGATAAAAAGTGCAATGAGAAGGTTTGTATGATGGCTATTATTGTTCTCTTCTTTTAACCCTAACCCCAATTCCAGTATAGTAAACAAACTTGGAAAAACATTGAGTTACAGAATGCTACCTTCAGCATTATTCAACTAGCCAGTGCTAAAAAACAAAGCACGGGATTACAGCCTATACAGCATGGCAAGCTCACCCTCATTCTTAAAATTGTACAGCTACATACTCATTCAACAATTAATCAGCTGTCAAAAAAGAAAAGAAAAAAAAAAAGCTCTAAATTGTTTAGCATATCAGTTTACATGAAAATTTTATGAAAAATTTAGCATAACAGTGTTTACACGAAAAATTTATGAATAATTACTTGAGCAAATTGGCAAGTTCACCCTGTTCATACATGGAAGTCAAGATGTCACATCCTCCAACCAGTTCTCCGTTGACAAAAACCTGAGGGAATGTCGGCCAGTTGCTGTAGCTTTTAAGTTTTTCCCTTAATCCACTGTTATACTCCTCATCAAGCACATCCACACTCTCATAATCCACCCCTTGGCTTTCAAGGATCCCAACCACCCTTTGTGAGAACCCACATGCAGGAGCACTTCGAGATCCCTTGATAAAAGCGACTACTTTGTTTTCTTTAACCAGCCTATCAATGAGCTGTTCTAACGGAACTGTTAACTGCACATGACGTCCAGGCGTTAGACGGAGATCAGGCTTCTTCTGAGGTGGTGGTCGAAACCATGTGGTGTTTCCTGTTTCATTCCCCGGTGGAACCTTTCCTGTGGCAGCTATGTGTTCTTCCATCCATGATTTCCAAGCTTGTGTCAAGGATTCTTTGCTAGGTTCATCAACAATTCCAACCTACATAGAGTTAGGGTTTATAATTAGAAAGTTCAAGAAAAGTCTATCTCCATCCATTAAGAACAGAGAAACTATAAATGGCATGATTTTCCATTGCCAACATTAGTGCAATCGCACAATCATCTTCTTGCACAGGAACACGCACAAGCTCATGGCATTTACACACCCACGTGTGATACAGATCAGGCAGAAATATGTCTCCTTTAATTGGAGTTCTTACTCTGACTACTCACTACTTTTGTGCTGAAGTTAACCTGTAGTCCTATACGGAAATTTATTGTTCCTTTAAGATGGAGCTTTAGACTTTGCTTTCATTGGGAAAACAGAATTTAACAGTGTTTCAAATAAAGGATAAGCATGCCAGATCCTATGGATCAAGCGCAATAAGCACGGTAAACATGAATGCTCTTATTCCTACTTTATACAGAGAATATGAATCTAATTATGTTGACTAAAAATTGTCTGCCTTAGGCTCCAACACATGACAGATATGCAAGAGGAGAACCGAGTAAGCAAAAGAGCTGTTGAAGAATGAAGACTATAGAATAAAGATTTATGCAATGATACCAAGGGTGAAGAACAAAACCAAGAGGAAAAGACCAAAATTTCTTGTAGCTTGCAGTTTCATGTATAAGCTATCTCGTTATCTAATATAACTTAAGTCCAACTTCAAGCATGATGTGCCATCAGCACATCCGCACATATATGCAGACACATATTCAATGTAGAATTTAGAGTTTTTATTATTTAAAAGGCTAACTTATCCAATTAACAAAGTCATATATGGTATTTGTAATGCTGTAGAGCACTGATTCCAATTCTGCCATTTCACTTCTTCCCTTTGTTCATGTATCTTATAAATTATACATTTCTCCCTGTCCAAATTTTCTCTTCTATGTTAAATGTTTCCTGCACACAAACTAACCCTTTGGGACAACCACCTTGCAAGAACTTCATTCTTCAATAATATGATTAGTATTATAAACGGTTCAGCTTCATGTTATACAATAACCATCATAGAAAATCATTGTTCCCACCCATTGTATCTTTTTTGTCACCAGAACATTCATCTTCCCTTCACCCATGCTCCTAATCTCAATAAAATCTCACTCAATTGCCATTTGAGAAAAACTAGATGCCTTCTCTATCAAAACTATCCTAATTTATGTAGGCAAAGGCTTTTCAACATGTACTAGTATAAGTAAGTAAACCTGAGGTATCGATTGACAGGTTTTATGTAGGCAAAGGTGTTAACGCAAAAGTATTTTCAAAAAGGTATTCAAACCTTTGCATATGACATTAGATCTAGTAGCTTTAAGCTCTGTTTGTTTGAATCGATTTTATCGAAAACATTTTCCAGCAATATGAGGAATATGATTGATGAGAGTGAGGGATAGCTCAAGTGGTTAGAGTTTCCTTGGGATCGATTCTCACCCGCCCTTGTGGCTCTCTAATAAGCACCAAAAAAAAAAAGGAATATGATTGATTCATTTTCAGTTGCTTGATTTGCAACAATGGAAATCTATCATACACCCGGTGAAAGCAATAGTCCTTTAGATAGGAAGAAATGCTGCATTTTCCTCTCTATTCTAACATCTCATTCCTATCCCCTTCCATCCTTCTCCATCTTTATGCACTATTGCACTCTTTTTCTTCTTCCTCCATAATATTTCTTCAAGCAAACTAAGGAAAACTGCTCTTATAATTATGTTTTCCAATTTTCAAAGAAAATTGTTACTCCCTCCGTCCCTAATTTACATTCCTCTTTTTTATTTTTGGTATTCCAAAATTACATTCCTCCTTTCTATTTTTGGTAAGTTTTTTTTAGTAAACCAACTCTCTTTTTCTGTTTTATATTTAATGCTTTCTCACTCATCCTTACCTAATCTCACTCATAATCCTTGTGCCAAATTACAATTAATATGATTGGTTAAAAATTTTCAATTAGGAGCATGTGATTGGTCCTTTTTTTTTTTTGCAAAGGATTGATGACATGTTATTTGTCTTTGTACTTCCCATTGTATTATCTAATTATTGTTATTTGTCTTATTCTTTCATCCTTAATTCCCGTGTAAATTTCCAAAGAGGAATGTAATTTAAAGACGGAGGGAGTATCAATTTAAACAAACGAAGCCTCAATCTCTCCACATTTTGTACTACGCCGCAATTATAGCAATGAATTACAATTTCTAAAGAGGAATTCTACATCAATCATATTGTAACCTAACATCCACAACAAATATACAGCAGAAATGTATTCATAAATTTTATTACACCTTCAAACAAATTAATCTCTTCAATTTTCTCAATTATTCAACCAATTAATCAATGCTAAGCTAGAATTGGAGAAATTTTCAACATATTTAACTCTAATTTTAGGAAATAAGAGCTGTTTCCAAACCAAAAATTCAGCAATCAGATTCAACAAAACTGCAATTTCCTCAAAAAAATTCTTCAAAATTCCAAAATTAAGCAATATTCGGCTCAGAAAAAGAAAGTTCTGAATACCTTAACAGAGGAACAAAGCTCCGGCACCTTCTTGCGGTGTAAATCAACACTAGCACCAACATTCTTCGACAATCCGATGAACTGAATTTCGCCGTTGGAATCATACACAGCGTAAACGCCACACTCTGACGTCACACTTCCGTCATTTTCCGGCGACAGAGAGATAGAATTAGCCTCTGAGATTTTCTTGAGAGCAGAAACAATGGAGAGAGAACGAGGTTTAACGTTTGTGATGGGAGTAATACTAGTGATGTTGCTGGGTTTTAGAGAGAGAAAGTGGTGGGTTGTGAAGGAGGGAGGGTTGGGAGGAGAGAGAGTTGGGTGAGGTTGACGAGAGGTTGAAGGTGGTAATCGAAGAGATGGAGTGATTTTTGATGTGATGATGTTTATCGCCGCCATTTTTGGGGACTGAAGGAGCTCGAGGAGTTGATGGTAAACGGTTCGGGACAGTGCGGGTAGGAACTTGGATTACTAAATTACTTGTAGGATTTTGGACCTCTACTTTGGGTTAATTTAAGGGTAAATATAAGTTAATGTCTGAGATTCACAAAATTTGTTTATCATATAGCAATTTTGTAAATAAATCAACAACTTTTTCTATAAAAATAGGTCTTACAGTGATGATGATTGGATAAAGTTGTTGATTTATTTACGAAAATGTCATGTGATAAACAAATTTTGATTATCCCAGAGATTAACTGGGGCTTCCTCTTAATTTAAGGGAAAAATTTGGAAAAATAATCTCAACGTTCATCAGTTTTGATATGATAATCCCAACTTTAGATTATTCTGAAACAATTCGAACTTTGGGGGTCTTTTTTTTGTTCAATCCCAAACCGGTCAATGACCTATTATATCAGGTCACTTGACACGTGTCAACTGATTAGTGCAAAAAAAAAAAATTTAAATTAAAATTTCAGAAAACCACCCAGCTTCTCCTTCCCCTACCTATGCACCCTGACCACCACCACAGCCTAGCCCACAACCCCACCGATCCACCCTAATAACCTCCATCACCATAGCCCAGGCCGTCGCGTCTCCCCCACTCCTTGTGTTGTCGTTTTCCCTTCTCCCTGAAACCCCACGCAACCACCGAAATCACCAACCCCAAAAACCAAGCAACCACCGTAACCAACCACGAAACCTCAAAACACTTCTCCGGTCCTCCCCCACCCCGAAACCCTAGCGTCTAGGGAATTCAATGGTGAGGGAGGGGTTTTTGGTAGTTTTCGGGAGTGGGCTGGTGGCTTTGAGGGATTTTCGAGAGTGGAATTGGTGGTTTTTGGGGTTTTCGAGAGTGGGCTAGTTGTTTTTGGGGATTTGATTGGTGGCGTGGGAGTTTCAGGGACGGGGATGGTGGTTTGGCTCGGAGCAGCGATTAGGGGTGGGGGAAGGTCGGAGGTCCAGCGAGAAGGTGGCTAGCATGGGCGGGTTGCCGGATTGGCTGAGTGGTTGGGGCTTTGGTTGGTGGGTTTTTTTTTTTTTGTATTTTTAGTCAATTAATTTGTGACATGTGTCACTTTAATAAAAAAATATATTAACTCATTCAACCGGTAACCGGTATTTCGAATTGAAGAAAAAGAAGGTCACCCAAAGTTCGGATTATTTCAGAATAATCCAAAGTTGGAATTATTGTACCAAAATTGATGAAATTTGGATTATTTTTTCTAATTTTTCCAAGTTTAAAAAGTACTTCCTCGATTTTTTTTTAATACCCCGTTGGAATTTATCTATCTATCTATATACTGTACTAAAACATGGTACACTAGCTCCAAAGCTGAAACGTGTCCTTGTTTTAGTTTTTTTATTATTTTTTTTTATTTATAACTTATATAATTGTCAAAGATCTTATTATTAATTGTTTCAAAAAAAAAAAACTTATTAAAGATACTCCAAGATAATATCCTTGACTTCTTGATATTGTTTCTCAATCAATATTATTCACGGATATTGTTTCTCATATATATATATATATATATATATATATATATATATATATATATATATATATATATATATATATATATATTATTTACGGATATTTAGCATATACATTTAGTCCATATTAGTTGACTTTAAATTGCTTAATCCAAAGAGAGTATATGCTTTTATTTTGTAGAGTATATTTTTTTCTATCCTTAATAGCACACGTCGTACAACTATGTATATGCTCTAGACTTTTTTTTTTTTTTTTTTTTTTTGGTAGACTATATAATTGTGAAATATATTATTATTAAATATACTCCAAGATAATATGTATCTTTGACTTCTTAATATTATTTTTCAGTCAATATTATTCACGGATATTCAGCATATATTTAGTCCATATTAGTTGACTTTAAATTGATTAATTCAAAGAGAGCATATGCTCTTATTTTGTAGAGTATATTTTTGCTATTCTTATTAGCACACGTACAACTATTGAATATGCTCTGGATTTTTTTATTATTATTTTTATTATTATTCCAAATAAGACTACAAATAACCAAGAAAAGAAAAAATCAAACAATCAAAAACAAGAAAGCTAAAACCTAAACACCTAATAGCGGAGGAATAAAAACCCTTTCATGATACTTCAAACAAAATTGTTTCCCCTCCCCACATTATTCCTATGGCTACCAACACCATTTCTTATGATGTTGAACCTTTATTTTTTTTTATTTATATTTTTTGAAACTATAATGTTGAACCTAATTGTGCTCTCATTGTTGTCAACTTCGCTAATATTATCAAACTCAATTCAACCAATTATTGATCCAGTAAAAAAAATATGTTAATTGTAACATGTTATCAAATGTTTTTTATCCTCCACAAATGGAAGAAAAATATGATAAATAAATATTTATATATTCCCTCCGTCTCATAATATAGTTCCTGTTTCTATTTTGAGATAGTACATATACCCTCACTTTTTTAATTTTATTCATTGTACTTTTTAATTTACCATTGAATTTTGCACATGCTTTGTACTTTTTTCCATTTTCTCTCTATCACTTTTGTCTATGATTGTACTTTTCACTTTTATTAATATACTTCATCCACTTTTTCCTCCTATTTCTTAAATACCGTCTTTGTACTTTTTTCATTTTCTCTCTCTCACTTTTGTCTATGATTGTACTTTTCACTTTTATCAATATGCGTACTTCATCCACTTTTTCCTCATATTTCTTAAATACCGTGAAAAAACACAAACAAGAACTATGTTATGGGACGGGGGGAGTACATAATAAAAATATCAAATATTTATAAAAAGATATGACTTTTATTCATGCTATCTGGTAATACCAAAAATTCTACTTTTAGAAGTGTCATACGGAATATTAAATTTCAAGTGTGTTTAAAGGCTATAGAGGAAAAAAAAGATATGATATTATTTGTGATATATGAAGTACAATATTATATATACAATAATCACGTGTTATTATAATAGTAAATGTTTACAAATATATATATATATATGGAATTCAAAAGGTTTCAAATGTGGCTAGCCACACTGTGTGGAAGAGATTACATGGTCCGGGGTTAGTATACTCGGTCGGTCAGGGGTTACTTGGTCAAGAGTTATTCGGTTGGTCAGGGGTTACTTGGTCAAGGATTACTTGATCGGTCAAGGGTCACATAGTTAATCTGGGTTACTCGGTCAAGGATTACTCGGTTACTCGGTCAAAATCTTGCTTTGGTGTGTGTCAGCCGACCACACAAAAAAAAACCCTATATTGAGTTAGTGGACAAAGTTTAATCATTTTTAAAATGAGGTGGCCAGTGACTCAAGTAGAAATGAGAAGAAAAAAAATGACTTAATGTAGGTATTGATTATCAATTCATTGAGTTGAATTATATTTAAAACCTTTACATTCAATTTAAGAATAAAAAAGTTGTTTTAAAGAAAAAAATATTATATGTGGCTGGCTGTGGCCAGGATTACTCGAATTACTCGATCAGGGGTTACTCGAGGGGTTTGGTCAGGGGTTATTTGAGGGGTTTGGTCAGAGGTTACTCAGTTGGGGGTTATATACTTGAGGGATTACTCGGTCGACCTAGTAACCCCTCAAGTATATAGCCCCCAACTGAGTAACCTCTAACGTTAGGGCTTACTTGAGGGGTTACTTAGTCAGAGGTTGCTTGAGGGGTTACTCGGTTAGAGGTTGCTTGAGGGGTTGCTCGGTCCTATTGAGGGTTTACTCAATAAGGGGTTAATCGGTTAGAGAATTACTTGAAAGGTTACTCGGTCAGGAGTAACTCGAGTAATCCCTAACCGAGTAACTTGAGTAACCCAGGCCACACGGTGTGGCTAGCCACACAGACTAATTCCCCATGCAGAATACACGCTTATCAACTAGAAAGTTCTAAAACGATTGTACAAAGGGAATTGAAAATCACATCATTGCATTTATTTGTCACATGTCACTTATTTGTTGTTATTACTTCATTCTCACATACTCTCAAGGATAGAATTTGATGGTTACCTGTCCTAATAGCCTTTCTAGAGGTTCTCGTCGTCTAGGTTGTTAGTTTCTAAGGGTTTGTTCTCTTCAGCTTAACTTCAATTCAGTTCAGTTTAATTCAATTTATATTCAATTAGTTCAATTCAGTCCAGTCCACTTCCTATTTTACTTCTCTCATAAACAATTGAGTTTAGTTTAATTCAGTTCAATTCAGTTTCAATCAGTTCAGTTCAATTCAATTCAGCTTAGTTCATCAAATCAGAACAAGCCCTAAGTGAGTTTATAGGGTTGTTTGTAGCATTTTGTGAGCTAATTTCTTCTTCTGTCATTGTTGTTTCAAAGAATACTACAAGAAGGGGGGGTTGAATTGTAGTATGAGAGTTTAGCCAAACTTTTTGCAGAATTAAAACTAAGTAAGCTAAAGGCACAGAAAAATTAACTAAAGGAACTAAAAGATGCAAGAGAGATTTTTACGTGGAAAACTCCTTGGCCCTAACAAGGAGAAAAACCACGACCACTTGGGATTTTGGGAAAAAAATCTTCACTAGAATAGAGCAAATGGTCCTATTACAAACTAAAGACTCAAACTTCAAGTTCCTCAACGATCTTGAAACCCCGAGGAACAAGTCACCCAACTTGTCACTCTTCTCTTTTCTTTCTCTCTTCTCACTTCTCTCTTCTCTTTCTTTTCTCTTTTTATTCTCTTTCTCACTTCTCTTTCTCATACACAGAAGTTCACTCAAACTTCCCCATTCCCCAAATTACAACTCGAAAGAAAAACATACTCTAGTATAAGAACATTAAGAACACTCTATATTACTTATGTGGAATTGACACTTGACTCGAATTAAAAGCTAGAAAACTTATGTAAGCAAGGGTAAGTTTTTCCATCTGAAATCAACAGCTATTTATAGACCAAAAGTCGTTTAGGAAAAACTTCTTTGTGTAGTAAATCCACTACGCCACTACTCCAATCCACTAAGAAGATCAATGTTCCTAAAATTAAGGAAACATGAACTCCTCAATGTGAAAGACCATGACTTGAAGAAAATCATG